ATAAAATCTAGTTGCGCCCGTGGACGTAGGATTTACACCGAATCCGAACCACGTAAAATCCTTGTGTTCTTTATTATTTCCGCTGCGTGTACCCTGTCTCAATTCCTAACACTTAGTTTTCCCTATAAACTATCTTCCCAAATCGGAAGGAACAATAGAGAAAGGAAAGGAAGATCAATTCATTTCTTTTCTTTTCTTTCCTTTAGTGAACTCGGGAGCAGAGTGTAAGAGTTTCGCCCAATTCATGCTGCTTTCCGATTTTTGAATTATTTCTCTCTAGTTGGAAAATATTATGAATTTCCTGATTTCCTATGATCACGTGATTAGTTAGTATCTTAATTTCAGTCATTTTCAAATAATTTTAATGTTTTGAAATTTGGCAATACCCGTCAAATTTAGTTCATCCTTTTGAATTAATAGAATTCACAAAGAATGTAGCATTTGAAGATATATTGGATATGAATTAAATTCTTCTTTGTGAAACCTAAACACCCTTGTGTTATTTACTTCCATTCTACCTCAAAAATGCAAGCAAATCAATTGCGGAGGAGTATATTACCGTATCCACCAATATATGACTGGTCTTAAATTGGCTATATGCTGCCTGATTCTTCTTATGTACATATAGCAGGCCTTCACATGCTCCTATTGCTATGTTTAATCGTGCATCCCAAGAAAGTAAAGTTGTACCTGGTTCTGCATAAAGTAACCCAAAAAGTGTTAATGTATTACTTGGAATTTTGGTGACCGGAATAAAACCCGAATGGGGATTTCAAAGTGATTAGGGTTTTGATATAGCTGAGGGGCGAAGCTGTACACGACAATTCAAGTCAAGGTATGGACCTGTTTAGTTATTCCGTATTTACTTGTATATGGGTTCGCCCTATAGTTGCTAGAGTCTACGGTTATAAGTATTCGTATTTAGGGAAACCAATGTAATCACTTTGAAACAATCTCGTAATAGAAGAGTTCTCAAGGTTCTTTTCCATGGATGTATGTCACATTGATCGAACCACGTTAAATATTCTTTCTTTTTTAATGTGCTATTATTCTCGTTTATTCCTGACAAAAATAAACTTTGATTTTCAATCTTGCATATATGTAATTCCTCTACAACTCAAAAGCAGGGTCATATAAACAATTGTCGATTTGCCAACGAGAGATTCATTACAATTACAGCCAGAAGAGATGCGTACCTCCGTAAAGATATTTAGCCAAACTTTTGCCATGAATGAACTCATAAACAAAAAACAGTTCTTCCTTTTTGGAGCAATATCCCAAGAGTTTTACAAAGCGGGGATGATTGAATCTTTTTAGTTCGACCGTCTGCATAGCCAATTTGGCTAGAAATATTAGAATGCATAAAAAATGTATGGTCTCTCTTTATGCTATCCAAAGTAAGTCACACATCATTATTTCACATATTGGAAGTACCTGGTACAAGAGAATCTCAATCCTCCTAACATACATCGCTAAACCAACACCACTTTCTGTTGGAGCATATCCTTTGTAAACGGCTTCATTTAGAGTTGGGGAAAGCACCCCCTCCTTAAAATCATTTGTTGCACTTGCCAGTTCAGCATATGTGAAAGTTCTACAAGTTTGATCAGTATTCCATCTTATTCCAGTATGAACTTTGCCTGTGAAAAGAGATCGTAGTTTGTAAATGAATCCTTCTTCACTAACAACAGAATTGGCAATTTCTGTTTCTTGTGAAAGAATAGACTCGAGCTTGACCACAACCTCCGCCATGGTAAGGCGTTGTTTTGGTTTGGTGTGTAAACAATAGCGTGCTACCTTTGCAAACTCCTTCAGGCATTTTCTGGACATTTGTCCAATTAGTCTTGGGTCAATAATTCGATTGAGTTTTCCCTCTTTGATTTTGTGTTGAACCCAACCTGCTAAACCCCAATGGTCTTCATCACGGGTTGAATCTACCGCTTTTCTCCCGGACAACACCTCAAATAGTACAACCCCAAATGCCTAAACATCGGATTTTGTTGTCAATTTTCCTGTGTAGAAATAGCACGGATCCATATACCCAAATGTCCCTTTCACAGCTGTGCTGACATGAGTTCTATCTATTAAACCAACTTTAGCCAATCCGAAGTCCGAAATTTTAGCAGCAAAGTTTGCATCCAACAAAATGTTAGAAGTTTTCACATCAGGATGTATGACTCCATGTTGAGTTGATGTGCCCATGTGAAGGTAGTCTAATCCTCGAGCTGCCCCTACACATATCTTGAGTAGTTGTAACCAAGATAAAGATAAATCAGGTGAGCAAAGATGATCTTGAAGTGTCCCATTTGGCATGAACTCATAAACGAGGACCATCTCTTTTTCTTCATTGCAATAACCAATTAAGGATAGAAGATTACCATGCCGGAGCTTAGAAAGTACCTGAACTTCTGCCTCAAATTCATTGGCTCCTTGAAGGGACATGGAGTGCAACCGTTTGGCTGCAACTTCGGTCATTGACCCGATTTTGGAACATTTATACACCTTGCCGAATCCTCCCCGGCCAATGACTAAAGCCTCGTCGAAGTTTTGCGTTGCCGATTGAATCTCAGCAAGAGTAAAACGTTGACATGTCTGGTCTGGTAACATCATCGGGTAGCTTCTCCTGCCCGGACCCTTGAATCAAAGAAGAGCTTTAGACTTGGCAGTGGATGAATACCTTTTTCCTGTTGGTCGTTTTGTGCTGCAACCAGTGGATGATCGACTGTTCCTCTACACCTGATTAGCTTTTGGCAAATGGGAAAAGATAAGCAAAGGTACTTAGTCGATTAAAACAATAATGTTTTTATGTTATTTATGATAACAATTATATTTATCGATTATAACAATAAAGTTTAGTGTTATATAT